GAAACTGTACTCCTAGATCTTCATCTTCCAGTATTGTCTCCTCCAGTTCACTCTCTTCTCTTGTCTCTTGCTCCATGGCTTCACTTAGCTCCTCTGATCTTTCGGGTAATGGCTGATGCTCTTCTGAATGCTGCTCCGTATCAACTTGAATCTGTCTCTTCTGAGCTCTTGTCATCACTGCTAATGCTGATTCATCTTCTGACTCTTTAATCTCTCCAATATCAATCTGATGCTCTTTAGCCAGTTGTTTCAGTAGCTCTATCTGTTCTGATTTTGGTAATCGCTTTGCCATATGTTTGTGTAGTGGTACATCCCTTCCCAACAGCACATCTTCTGCTAGTCCTTGTACTACTGCTGCTTTCACCTGGTAATCCTCTCCATCAAATGTTATCCGGACTGATGCTAGTGGATACTCCCCATAAGTTCCATTCCCAAAAGTAACTCCAATCGTCTCCTTCTCTATGTCTTTCAATGCTACAAACTTCCTATCAACCACAGTCCTTGATGCTCCGCTGTCTATCTGAATTCGCTTCACATTGTGTCCATTGATCTTTCATTCTCCATGCCAAATGACTTCCTCTGCATTCTCTTTGGCTCGTAGAATTTTCTCCGTACAATTTCTTGCTATATGCCCCTTGCGATTACACTTGTAACAGGTAATCTCTGAAGGTGACTTTCTCTCCTTCTTGTTTCCAGTAGATCCTTCAGTCTTCCTTGGGAACTCCTTTGACCGACCATGATCCTGCTTTGGTCTATTCCTCTGTGGTAAACAACTATGAGCTGTATCATAAGATTCAATAAGCTCTCCAACTTTCTCTGGTGTCTCTGGGTTCTGAGAAGTTACCCAGATTCTCATCTCTTGTGGTAACCCATTTAAAAGCTGCTCTACTGCAATCTTGTTAACTACCTGTTCCATTCCATTCTCTGGTACTAACCATCTCTTCACCAGTTTGACTCCTCTAGCTATCCAATCAGTTGGGTCTTGATCTCTTGTCCAAACATGACTCCTGAACTTTCTTCTACACCTCTCTGTGTTGATGTTATAATGCTCCAAAATAGCTTTCTTGACTCCATCATAATCAGTAGTAGTTCCAAGATCAGTACAAACAGTTCTAGCCTTGCCACTTAGTAACGGTGTCAGACGTAGAATCCAATTTGTCCGATTCACCCCTTGTATCTTCATAATACCTTCGAATGCTTCAATGAAGTCTTGGAT